TACATATTATCCATGCAGGCAGTGGAATTTGGAAGAAAGCTTGCAAGCAAACACTTCTTTCGTCATGTTCTAGAGTAAGCTCTTGAAATGATCTTACGATATTATTCTTATTTCTATTATTTATGTCTCCGTTGGTTGGAATATTTGGAGGTTATTATTATTAATACACTGCTTGTATTGCAGTGAAAATGTCTTTGAAGATGGAAATCAGCCTTACCGTTTCCTAGATCATGATCCCGTTATTATGACACAGTGTTACAACATCCCTAGGGGCATCATTGATGTTGCACCAAAACCCATGGCGGAAATCGCATCAAGGTTGAGAAAGTTGTCTTGTGCCATTTTCGAGGCTTATGTATCTGAAGATGATAGGCATGTTGACTACAGAAGCATCCAGGGTTGTGAGGAATTTAAAAGGTTAGCACATGTACATACTTAAGTATATGCAAAAGACATGGAACTGCATAATCCATGTATAATTTATGTGCAGATACTAAAATGAATTGCTTGTTCTGACTACTTCTGATAATCTTTTAGTCGATACATATGTTCGAGTTCATAATTTGATCAGTAAACTCCAATTTTCTACCTGAGTATATCTCTATATATTTTATGTTGTGTGTTATAAATTTATAGTAGCACGTGCTGTAAGTAGACTGATAATTGATAACCTGGTTCTCATCTCTTGATTGCCCTAATGCCATAGGTGATCGGTACACTTATCTGAAGCTCATATTCCTTGCACAGGTATATTAGAACAACTGAGGAGCTTCAGAGGGTGGAAACTAGTGACCTGTCACGTGAAGAAAAGCTTGCTTTCTTCATAAATCTGTACAATATGATGGCTATCCATGCGTTAGTGACATGTGGTCATCCTGCTGGACCATTGGACAGGAAAAAGTTCTTTGGAGACTTTAAGTATGTCATTGGTGGATGTGCCTATTCACTGTCAGCTATTGAAAATGGCATTCTGCGTGCCAACCAAAGGCCACCATACAATCTTGTGAAACCTTTCGGACAGAAAGACCAAAGATCCAAGGTGAACAAAGCAGATCCACTCCGAAAAAGGGGAACCTATATGTTTCTGTTTACTAAAAATCTGTCCTGTCATGAACTCTTGATGATACCTGGACTCATGTTCCTTGTCTTGAAGCTTTCGTGTTATATACTTTTATTATATCAGTTATGCTTCTTTAAGTACTCCCCCCGTTCCCTAATATAAGACCTTTTAGCTATTTCAAAATATTGACTACATACATACTAAAATGAGTGAACATACATTCTAAAATGTGTTTGGATACATACGAATCAAGAAAAAGCTAAAATGTCTTATAGTAGGGAACGGAGGGAGTATATGCATGCAGCAAAGCACATATTCAGTAAGATGTGTTCCAACAATTAAACTCGTGAATGTGTTTTTCTTGTTTAGACTCTAGGGTATACAATCTATCCGTGGTTCTTCATAGAAAGGGCAGCTTAAAGGAAACATGCTTGATCTGTGTTGGTGCCTGTAAAAATTGCCAAACATTAGTGTGGTGGAGATTATTTCAAACTTGCCTATTGCGTGCAAGAAATAAACTCAACTTATCTTGACCTACTATTTCAAACAAATAACATGGGTCTCTTTTCTCATAAATGCATGTTGATATAATTTAATATCCGGTGCAGCATAATATCGGTTTGCATGTGTGCAAGGGTACATGTGAGTGAGTATTATCTAGCATAGTGCGTACTAGTGTATGGTCGAAGTCCTTTTACATCAGATGGCATATACCGGTCATATAGAAGGCAGAACTAGTTCTATGGATGTTCCTTTTTTTTCCGGAAGAAATGATTGAAACTTACCTAGTATGTTGGGCCTAGGGCGTAATCAGTTCCCGGAAATCCGAAGGAATATAGAAGGCAAGACCTACTGTGTTTCCATTATATGTTTACCTGTTTTCTATGGTTCTAGAAAGTCAGATTGAAGATATGTGAAAACCTTTTTGAAAAGGTCGTCTATGCAATAAAGGGCTGCCAAGGGAAGGCAAAACGACTATATATAGAAACTGGGCGCCAGCTGATCTGCATTGTACCACTTGTTTTAGCGCACTGGGATCCCATAACTGTACCTACTTGCCAAATCAGCCACATAATGCACACGACCGTTAGCATGCTATAGCAGCACTACAATATTAGTGTGACGTCCTATTTAAAACACCGTCATTTTGAACTACTAAATTCCTTGGTTCTTAAGCAAGCATTACGAGTCGAGCGACTAATCGAAACTAGTCGATAGACTAGTCTATGAGTCGCATTCTGGATGTCGACTAGAAAATTCGGGTAGACTAGTTCGTTGAGGGACTAGTCTGGACTAGTCATGCACTTTGAGTCGTTCGACTCAATTTTTTAATTTTTTTTTAGGGATTGGGAGGGAATAAGTGAGCCAGCTGCCCAGCCCGCAACCCGTGGGAGGGAAAATTTGTATTTATCCACTTCTCATGCATTCAGTTTGTATTTATACTGTACTGTGCTACTGCTATGTAGTGTATATACTACAGACTGATACTAGGTTTTAGTAATTGATTACTGCAAGGTATGTGTTACAGTACCATGTCGACTAGTCCAGCAATAGTCTAGACTAGTCACAATTAGTCTATGAGTCTCAACCTTGGAACGACTCGTCGACTCGTAAACCTTGTTCTTAAGTGATGCTAATTTTTCAGTGATATAAATTCTCACTGCCTTTTTTTTCCCTTGTTTGTAATTGCAGGTGGCCCTATCATACCCTGAACCTCTTGTTCACTTTGCTTTGGTATGTGGTACCAAATCTGGGCCTGCACTTCGGTGTTACTCGCCGGGAAATATTGATAAAGAGTTAATGGAAGCTGCACGAGATTTCGTAAGGAATGGAGGACTGATTGTTGATCCTGAAGCAAAGGTTGCATCTGCAAGCAAGATCTTACGATGGTAAGACAATAGAATGATTGATATTCTTGCTTTACCAATGTGCTCTTGAGTATTTACCGTTCTTGCTTAGTAGTGTGTGACTGTTCGGTACCAGAATTTGTAGTATAACAATGACAATGCATCTAATAGAGCTATTTACCCGAACATCTAGCACATTGACATGTTCAATAGTACTACTGACTTCAAAAAACAGTTTACTCTAGGTATAAGTTACAGCCCTAGAGCTGCTCGAAACATAAGCTAGATAAGTTTATTGCTAGGTGATCTAGCTTTTTCAGTCTTGTAGTTGGAGACAAAGTAGAATACCAGTCTGATATGGTGCTATTCTTGTGTGTCATAGTGACATAGTCCTCTAATGTTTGCTTGGTTTTTGTTACTTGAATTCGCCCTTGGTTAAGTTGGATATGAATGAATATATGATGAGTAGTGCTTCAAAAAGGGTCAACCAAGCTTGTAGCGCTCTGTGTGGTGCATTAACACTCATGTGGCCTTTTATGATTACTTTGCGTGTAATTTCAACTGGAATATAGCAGGATGCTGATAATTTTTATAGATATGGATTTGTGTGCTTTGCCCTATTAGGGTTATAACTAATGAAGAATAATTAAAATATGCTTAGTGATATCGCTTTATCCAATAATTTGAAGGCCGTAACGGTATGTGAGGTGGTTATGACCCGCATTTAGTCTGTGGTCACTAGAAATACAACTGGAACTGCACAGTGCCCAGCAAATTAAGGGAATGCGGTTTCAATGAGTTCGTTGATGATGTGACATCGGCCATTTATTCTGCGTGAGATAACAACAAATGCATTACCATGTTACTACTTGACAGATTGGCGGATGATCATACATTTGTTACACAGTTATATTGCTAGAGTGCAAGTCCCAAATATTAACTTGGTTAATTTTACCTGATATGCACTGTGATGAAATTATAACAGTGGCAAGAAGTTGAGCATCAGTTACCAAATATTAACTTGGAAACTCATGGTCCAAATGATTTTAAGGTATAAGTACACAGATTTTGGTAAAATGAGATACAGCTCAAAAACTCTTGTTCTGAATTGTTTGCAGGTATAACACCGACTTTGGTAAGAATGAGACAGAAGTACTGAAGCATGCAGCAAATTATCTGGAGCCTGCAGCGTCGGAGCAATTCTTGGAGCTGCTCGCAAACACTCAACTGAAGGTCTCGTATCAGCCTTATGACTGGAGCTTGAACATCTAGCTGCAGCCAGGATTATACAAACGTTTTTTTCCTTATAGCTAGTATACATGTTGCCCAAAGATTTGTGGAAGAACTACCGGTGTACCCAGTTTCTTTTTTGCGAAGTCAGGTGCACTAAAGAATTTTCATGTATTGTGGATTTGTGGCGAACTGGATGGCTGCCAATCAACCATGTTCCGTTCATTTGACTAAATGGGCGCATGTTGATTATCATATCTCTGTTCCTGGGACTGCTCAATTATTGTTGCCTGCAGATGTTATGTTGCCTTCGGTATTGCTGGCATTCAGTTGTTGCCTGCAGATGTTTTGTTCGCTGATGCCTTGCATTGGCATGTGCGGCGTTTATTATTTTTCCTTCTTTTCGTTTGAGAAAGATAGATTTACTGTTCAATTTTTTAATGCTTACCCAAGTTGTCATATATTAACAGTTTTATGCATTGTTCAATCTTGCAATGCATTCACTGTTGAGCAATGTAGCTGTCATATATGAACATTTCTGGATTTTGTATAGGTTCTTTGGAGGAGCGATGAGATGTCAGTTCCAGTTCCTTGTTTATTGATCTTTGGAGGTTGCATTTTGTCTTAACCAAATGAGTTCGCCGAACTTCCATGGACTGAATATTGAGTGGTTAGGAAATTCCTTCGACCCAGACGGGCCTCCAGTGTTGCGTAGTGGTTGAAGACTAAAAAAGGTACTACCTGCTACCCACTTTCAACCTTTTCCTAATTCATGACCATTAAAAATGGATAGCCGAATTAACAAGAAAACTGGCCATGTTATCATCCCTGACGTCGTCAGCCACCCTGTCACAATTCTTTGCTCAGTCAGATGGTAGCTGGCCGACGTGACAGCCAAACCGACGCCATGGTCGACAGCCCGACCAGTGGCTGCCACCGGCGCGGTCCAGCACAAGCTGACAAGGCAACTGCTCCGAGCACACCACAGCTGCAACTGCAAAGCTACGAGCAGAAGAACCAAAACACACATACAAACTGCCTTCCGTCAGTCCAAACATATTCCCTTTACACTTCTGGACAGAAATCACTTCCCTATTACATATATATAGATATAATATGTAGCGGCAACTTGGGGGAAAAAATCTCGACAAATACTATACGACGAGTATATATATGTAGAAGCAAAAAAAAAAAAAAGTGGAACCTCATTTCCGACGTCACTACACAATGTCTACATCTTAAAACAACAGCAAGCATCCCAGCTCTTGACTTCCTGCATACCCGTTACAGCTTACATATGATGTATGGAAGGCCCCCCCGCTGTAACCAAACTTTACTGTCGAGCAGAGATGAAATATATATGGGTGTTAAGTTACCGTCTCTAGGCATTTCATTCAAGAATGGCTTGCAAGAATCAAGTGTTAGGGTGAACTTGCAATCGTTGTGAGCATGGATGGCACCAATATACAGAAATACACAACGCGGGCTGAATCGAAAGCGTCACAATATCGTGCACCCACATCTGTTCTGCTTGGGAGAATTCGAGAGGTGTTTATCTGGAAAGAAAAAGGATGGTGGCACATTAAGATCAGAAACAAATCAGACGGAACTACGATGCTAAAGCAAATTAAACAAATGTGTAAATGCTGGAGTGCAATATGCTTGTCCACATAGTTACCCTTTAAATTAACATCAACATACTCTGGATTATCACAATAAAATGGTTCCATTTACAAGAGATCAGATAGCGGCCGCAATGCGAATAGCATGCAACAACAAGTCATCTAATCGCATTCTGACAACGAGAAAAAAGAGTCGGAAGCATAAACTGCTAGTTTAATTCAATGGCAAAGTTGCTGACAGAACTGAGCATCGAGTAATGGATCAACTAAACGAGGCGAAAACAATGTTACGACCAGCATAGAAAAAATGTACACCTAGAGATATACAGTACAATGTGTGCACTCTTAAGTCTTAATTTTTTAGGAGTAGGACTGTTAGAATGGCAAAAAGGTGGATGCCAACTTCTTCGGACAGACAATAGTCAGAATTCTCATTCAGGTCACACATAATAGAAGTTCAACCCTTCGGATCTTAAACCAAGTGAGGTCATCAAACATATAAAGAGATGGGACTTTGAATAAATAAGAGGGAAATCAAAGCAATACCACTTTTGTCACTTTGGGGAGGGCGTACAACAACATGCATCGTGATCACACCTCCTGGAACTTCTCCTACTGGGACTCGAGACTCGGCAAGAGTTTTGTTATTCTCAAGTATCCTTCCAGCATTGATGAGCTTCACGTCATTGAGAGTTTTTGGAATAATGTCTTTGTCTGTCAAAAACATTGTCAAAAAGGCACTCTTAACACAGATAATGATATATTCCATAAAGCTTCTACAAGACTGAAATGATCAACAGCAGTATTCAGAGAATTTGAAGCACTTGCAAAAGCTGTATACCATTCCCCTGAAAAGAAAAGGGCAAAGCCCTGGAAGTGCAAACTCAAAATATCTCATCACAAGGTAAACTCTCCTTCTGAAGCATGGTCATCGACATGTTATGGACCATTTTGCGGCCTTATCCTCAAAGGACACACTTGCATATGTTGCAAAAGGGAAACATCTATTTCCTTCTCTACTGTGAACATGTCACAGTGATCAATTAATCCATGTTTTCTTAGACACTAAATGAACATGTCGGAGGAAGAACAGAGACAAAACAGGAACAAAAATCACGTTCATGAGGACTTAAACCTGAGTAGTGGGATTGTACATCCACTTCACCCATGCGAGCTAGCTCAGTTCCTATTATTAATCTGTGCAGGCAAATAAGAACTGGAGCTTCCTGCTGCCACTAATTCCTCCTTTCCTTGCCGTCGGGTTTTGAGGAAACTTAACCAAAGGACAATTTCTGCAGAAACAGCTACTGCCTCCGATCCAAATTAGTGTTTCTTGTTTGATTACCAAACAAACAATTAAAAAAGTGTGCATCATAACTAATCTGCCGCTTCAGCTGTTAGTATTTTGGTACTTCCCATGTGCCTACATTACAGTCCAGACTCGTGCTTAAAAACACTCTCCAAATTTACAGTTACGAGCGTAACCCAGCCAGATTTGCCCCTATAAAAGCACTGACTGGACTTCACACCCAGTAATTCAGAACTGAGACTGGACCACTAAATATCAGGATAGTATCCAAGGACACCAACAGGATAAGAAGGCATACAAACAGCCTCCTCAAATGGTCCTGTCATCCGTCATCACATGTTTCAGCATGCATCGTAAGATACAGAGATCCAAAATTCTTTGGGAGCACTAACGAGTAGCAACAAATGTCATCACCGCAAAAATATGTCCTCTGTCTGCCCGTTTAAGAAAATGCAAGAACTTGTAGATGTACTGACATATCTATTCTCTGCCTGTCAACGTAGTGTTGGCTACTACGGGCAAGGAGACTTCTAAAAGCCTCAGTTAGTTGGAAACCTGGACGCGTGTTACCTAACTGGCCAAAGAACAGAAGAATCACGCAACCCGCGGAGCAACCTGATCAAATCACTGTGTTTTATCGCGAAAGGGAAAGGCGGGGATGGCTCCCAGATCCGGACCGAACCATCTGCACAGGGATTCTCATACCGGATCAAGAAACCGATGGAGAGGACACGAGGGGCGAGACGACCGCGCAAGCAACCGCCCCGAAACACATGGCATCAAAAGCGGAGGCGTGTATATATATGTACGCGGAGGAAAAGGAGGGGGAGGGAGGTCGATCGGCCTCACCCTGCGGCCACCGAGCGAGGACGAACTCCTTGAGCGCGGTGACGGTGGTGGCGGGGTCGTACTTGTTGGGCCCGATGTCCGTGCCGTCGAAGAGGCGGAACTTCACCTCGATCGGCTCCTTCCCGCCGGCCATCTCCCCCGGCCGGATCGCCCCCCGACGCAAGATCCCAACAACCGGCGGCTCAGTGGACGGCGGACGGCAGGGCGGAGGGATTCAGGGGAGGAAAGAAAAGCTGCCGGATTCGGCGCGGCGAGGGCAAGAACCGATGCGGATCCCACGAAGGATAGGATCCGCTTTCTCGTTTTGTTAAGCAAGAATTTAGAATTCTTTCGTGGGGAGCAAAGCGACGAGACGGGCGTCTCGAGGGTAGGGAGGGAGGAAGAGAGGGAGAGAGAGAAGAGGGGAGTGGGATTCCTCGGTGTTTTCGCAGATACGTCCCCCGCGGAAAACTATATTTATCCTCGAGCTGTAGTGGGAAAATAGCTGTCTTCGCCTACCTGCTGCTGAGTGGCGACTATTGTGTGTGTCGACAGCATTTTTAAATAGATTAATAACGCTGCACATACAACAGCTTTTTTTGTTTTGTTTCGAAAAGGGCTGAGACCATATCACAAGCGCTTATAAACACACCCTTAAAGAGAGAGAGAGAGAGAGAAATGTCGTTAAGGACATGTAGTTGAAGCCCACGAAAACCGTTCGAATTTAAATGAATCCATCAGAAGCATAAACTGATTGGATCCTGAAAGATCCATCAAAGACACGGTTTGACACACCCTTCGCCAGCAGAAAGCAGACCCACATAGTGGTGATAGGATGGGAAAAACATTATTCCTACCCCGGGCAACACCGTCCTAAACCAAAACTGAATATCCATAAAGAAAACCTGGAAAATAACACCCATCTTGTTGTATAATAGATTCGGGTCTGATGTCATGCTCGTCGCCGTGCAAAGCCATGCATCCATGCCCTCTTCTCCGATAATCTAGTCAGGCCGAGCTAGCGATGAAGAGCGTCATGTTGGGTCCATCCAACAGCCGTCGCCTTCACCAACATTGCCATCGCGCACCGCCTGGTGAAGACCGCCGCTCGAGCACCATCTCCTTCGCAGTCGTAACAACACTCTAGCACCTTCACGGCAAGCTGCCCTGATAAGGACCTCGTAGCTAGCGTCGGCGCGGCGAGAGGGGTAGGCGATGGGTGGCAGCTGGGTTTTGTGGTCGGCGACCTTGCCCGTAGCCTTGAGAAAATAATTCACGTACACACATCAATTTATTATAGATATGCATTTTAAAACATCTTTTATTTTTCTACGAAATGTGCACTTTGGGACACTAATCGATAAAAACACATAGCACTTCTTTTGAGGTAGAAAAAACTGGCCATTGTGTTCTTTTAGACAAAGACAAAAAATAGCACTTAGTTTAGTTCATGAACTTGTTTAGCGGGTGCAAATTGGCATAAAATTTGGCCGAGATGAGCTAATTTCGATGACGTGGTATGCCACACAAGCAATTTGCACCAGTGTCACACATATGAGCGGGCGACGGGAACCCGACTTAGTATCACCAACAATTTCTTTTCGCCATGAATAATTTTCCTTTACGGAAAGTTGGGCCAAAAAATAGCTACAACAGCCCCTATAAAAAGCAAAAAAAAATTAAGGGACCCATATAATCAACCTATTGGTGCAACTACTTGCCCCTTGTGTTTTGGAGATTGTTGTCAGAAACAGTTTGTGACTGATGTGTTTGCTAGTTCACACAGAGAGAAATTGTCCCTCGAGTATCGAGAGGATTACCATAATCTTCCGAAAGATTTGCTACCGAGAAGATTGCTATAATCTTCCGAAAGATCTACCGAGAAGATTGCTATAAACTTCCAAAAGATTTGCTACCGAGAAGATTGCTATAATCTTCCGAAAGATCTACCGAGAAGATTGCTATAAACTTCCAAAAGATTTGCTACCGAGAAGATTGCTATAATCTCCCGAGAAGTTTGCTATTGAAAGGTTTGCTACTGAAAGGTTTGCTATAAAAAGGCTTGCTACCGAAAAGTATGCTGCTTCGAGAAGTTTGCTATAAACTTCTAAGGAAGTTATCTGCACAATAGAGAAATTGATATGCTTCAAGAGGCTTACTATCAAGAAGATTGTGACTTCCGAGAAGTTTGCTATAAACTTCCTCGAAGGTTACCTGCACTGTAGAAAAAATGTCATGTCTCAAAGTGTTTGTTATCAAGAATATTGCATGCCAGAGATGGCCCTGAAAAAATTTATTGCTGAAACGAAGCAATTTTCATTCGGTGTGTCCGAAGAAGACTGACTGTAGTCGAGAAGATTGAATACAAAGCGAAGACATAACATTTGTTTTGTTGTTCTTCTTTCTCTTGTTTGAGTCGTAGGACCATCGTACTATTAAGAGGGGTATAAGTATTCAAGACTTTTGACTATTATGATGCTTAACCAAAACCTATGAGAGTTTGAGATAAATCTCTTTGTGTTTCGAATAAATACTTGTCAGCCAGAGACGTTCTTCGGAGATGCAAGATATTTGATTCGAACTGAGGAGTTAGCATTACTTGTTCCTCAAGTAATGTTACCGTTGTACTCAAAATCTGACTGTTGGAAACATGTCGGTTGGCCATTAGCTGGACCGCGTGTTCCAAAATGGTCATTGCCCATCCGGAAAGGCTATGACTATAAATAGACATCCCACTCCAACGTCGTTTGTTGGCTACTCCGCTTGAGATTCTGAGAAGATTGATTGAGCACCCCTCTCCGAGAAAATCAAGAGCCAAAACTTAGAGAGTGGTTGAGCATCACAGTAGATCTGAGTTAAGAGTTCTTGTACCTATTAGTCTTGAGAGTTGAATACTCTCTAGACGGATAGGTGTCAGCTCGAGTGACGAAGAGTAATTGTCGTTTCCAAGTCAAAGTCTTCAACAACTAAGAGTCCTTGTGGTTTGTGAAGAGTGACCAAGAGTAATTGTGGTCACCGCAGACAAAGTCCGTTGAAGGTTTGGAGATTTCCAAAAAGAATCTACCATGAGTGAAATCAACTAAAGTTCGAGGAACTTCACGTTGAGGAGAATAGGACAAAGAGAATTTATCTTCTGTGTTCAATCACAAGTCCCTCCAACAAGACGTAGCTCTTTAGTAGAAGAGTGAATTGGTCTACCAAATCATCTGTCGTCATCAAGCACCACCGGTCATTTCTATCCTACTGCATTTCTTTTGGTAATTTATTTATTTTTGGTGCTCTTTGTTGCCGATAGATATCTATCTGCGATTCTTTATCTTCCAAGCATTCTTTTCAGTACTGTGACAATATTGTATTGCATATTTGCTTTCACGGTATTTAAGGTTGTTTGTTTGTATGTTCATCTACTCTTCATTTGATGTTGAAAGAAATACTCGGTAGGATGCACAAGCAGAGGATATAATTTGCAATCATCTCTCCAGGTCACAATTCCTTCAGTACATAAGACTTGAAATAGAGAAAGAAATCTGGGACAGATTAGAGAAGATCAATGAAGGTGTTTCAACTCAAAAAGAAACACAAATCGATATTCTTTGGGCCATGTACAACCGCTTCAAGAGGCTCGAGAATGAAAACTTTCAAGAAACCTTTGATCGTCTAAATGATATCGCAAATGAGTTGCAAGGTCTTGGTGCTGAAGACATTACCGATCATGAGATTGTGAAGAAGTTGCTTCGGTCCCTGAATAGTTCTTTGAATACCCTTGGGCTGATTATCAAGGAAAATCATGACTTCAAAAGTCTCGATGATGCTGATGTTATGGAGAGGCTAAACATCCATGAAGAACAACAAGAAGAGAAAAGAGATCTGTATGGCACTCGCTACCGAAAGAATCATGCTCTCAAAGCTGCTGCCGATTCTTCTTCAGACGCTGAAAATAATGTTGATGAAGATTCTGATGACCCTAATAGCATCAACGAAGATCTTGTGCAGATAACTAAGCATTTGCAATGCTGCCCGAAAAAGAACCAGTTTCCGAAAAAGAATCAGTTTCTGAAAAAGAATCAGTTTTCAAAAAAGAACTCGGGTAGTAATTCAAAGTCTTTGTCGAGGTCAAAATCTTCTGGAGAATATATTGCCACATGGCCCTCACCGTCCTCGAAATCTCCCACTCATTGTCAAACCAAGTAAGCATCTCATTCAACCTGGCTAACTTTGCCTGGTCGCCGCTAGCGATCTGCCTTCGCTGCTGCATCCTCTCCATAGATGTCCTTCTGAGTGGTCCGGTGCTAGCTTTGGAAGATGGGAGGAGAGACGGTGGTCTTGCAATAGAGAAGAGGGAGAGGCAAGACGATGGTTTTCGAATGGAGATGATGGAGAGGAGAGGGGGTGGTTTTGCAATGGAGAGGAGGGAGAGGCGAGACGGTGGTTTTGGAATGGAGACGATGGAGAGGAGAGGAGGTGGTTTTGCAATGGAGAAGAGGGAGAGGAGCGTGCAACAATGATTTAGGATTGGACGAGAGGGCCGACGCGCTGTGACTGGATCAAAATCAAAATCAAAATCAATTTACCCTTCAATTAAGAAAGCGACCCCACATTAACTAGTCTCCCTTTTATTATGGGTCATAATTGACCATGATTTTCACAAATAAAATATATGTTATATGTTGCAAAAATAATATATTTTGAAAGTACATTCAGATACGAACCAAACGATACACATGCATTCACATTTTGCTTGTAAAATACAGTACGTGGTCAAACTTTGATCTAAAATACACAAAACAAAAAATATACTTCCAAGACCAGCGCCAATCCTCTCCTCTTAAACCACGCCGCTCCTCTCCTGTTCCAATCTAAATCCAGCGTCGCTCCTCTCCTCTTCAATTTCAAAACCACCACCCCTCCTCTCCTATTCCAATCCAAAACCAGCGTCGCTCCTCTCCTGTTCTAATCCAAAACCAGCGCTGCTCCTCTCCTCTTCCATTCAAAAACCACCGTCGACGAGTGAAGGTGTTGTGGAGAAGTAGATCGATGGAGGAGTACAACCGATACATGAGGATCACAGACGACGACCCTGTGAAGCTAGCTAGGATGTTGGAGATACAGTCTTGGTTTGACAACAAGGACCAACTAGCAGCGACGGCGACATCC